AATCAGTATTGCAACATGGTTAATAACTTTTTTCCCACAAAACACATTTAAAGGAGAGACTGAAAAAGGCAACTTTATACTTTAAGTAACTTTAACTCCATTCATCCAAGACCTGTCAAAATTATATTTAAGACCTTTTAAAGGCCTATAATTCATATGATTGGATTTTAGACTTTTAAGACCCTGTGGGCAACCTGCTTTACGTTAGTTTCATTTACTAAAGATAAAGGGCAATCTCCACAATCAGCGGGGTTTCTGAAGACAACGAGACAAGGAAATGGGAGCTAATTATTACCTTGAAAGTGCCACCTTGCTGAGTCACTTCTGGCCAACTAGAGCGGAGTAAACCTCTACCTCTAGCTACCACAGGTGGGAGTGGCAGAAACCAACTCATACAAAGCATCTACCAGCTGACAGTTGACAAACGAGTTGGAGAAAGACAAACCAACCAAACAACCAGCCAGCAGCAGCAGCAGACTCGCTGCTTTCACTCCACAAAAAGCAAAAGAGGGGTGCAGATGTGAGGAGTGAGCGGATGGATCTGTGTTGGTATCTTTAGTTTTACAGTAGAGACAAGAGCATACTCCAACTAGCCTGCCTCAGAGCCTCACTCGTGGCTCAGCTTGACTCCTGGCTTCACAGAGACCAGAGGAAATGGTCCTGTTCCCAAACACAAACTATTTCCTTCCCCCAACGACCTGCTCCGTGGGAGCCCCGCTCCCGCTTCCGGACAGTTTTAACAGCCCAGCCACCGGGAGTAGGAAGCAGAGCCTAATGGCAATTTTCATATTGGGATAGCATATCGGGTTAAACGTGAGGGGGAGACTGCGTGCCCTCCACTCACATACAAGTCCAGCTCATAAAGATGAAGCCAAGGGAGTTAATAAACACCACGGGCAGGCTTTATGCAGATCGGTGTGCAATGTCACTGCACTGATCTCTGCACAAGAGATATTAAATGACTAAATTATCTGGAAAACTACACAGCGAGTTGGCTGAGCTCTCTGTGACCTTGATTCCTCTTCACCCTGCTCGACAAATGCTGAGGGAGAAATAACCACAAGCACAATGGGAGAGAGAGCAAAAGAATGTGAGCTAGATAAGCTAACAGGGCTGGTCCTACATCCTTCTTCACTAACCGTCTCCTTTCCTCCAGCACATGTTGGGAGGATGCATGGAGTCAAGAAAGAATACCACACACACACACATATTTACCTCTAAGGCCAGGGCAGTCTTGTCGTAGGCATTGGGCACCCTCTTCTGTATGGCCCTGGCATAGACAGGTCCATTCTGGAGGTTTGGGAGGGGGGTGGGTTGGGCGTACTGGCTCGGGTCTACCAGCAGTGGAGGGCCGGACTGGGCTGCAGAGCCATCAGAGTTCCCTAGCATCCCCATTCCTCCCGGCGGTCCCCCAGGTACGCCGGGCCCCGCCCCCGAGTTTGGAGACGCCGGTCGGTACTTCTCCACGTAGGGCACTGGGATCATCCCCGCCCGGCCTTCCGAGTTCTGGGCGTTCCACCACTGCTCCTCTGGCTTCTCAAGAACACGGAGAACATCGCCCTTCCTGAATGGGAGATCCTCCTCGTCGTTGCCGGGGAAATCAAAAAGTGCTCGGACGTACTCATCTTCCAGGCGTGGCGGGGGGGCTCCGCCGGGGCCAACGCTGATGAAGGAAGTGTGTTTGGACTTGTTGATGGGTTCTATTAGGGTGGTGGTGTCCAAGTAGTGGATTTTGTAGAACTCTAGCAAAGCAGGGAGAGCATCGAACTCCTGGTCACCAATGCGGAACCTCGGGTGGGCCAGACCTGGTGAGAACGAGGGAGGATGGAAGAGGAAGAGGCGTCAGAAAGACAAAAACATTCCCTCTTCAAAACACAACCTGGTCTGCTAGCATGGTGAAGTCTGGCACATCTGATAAATCTGTCTATTTATGTAACCAAGCATGATGGCGGTGATTTCCAGAATGACCAGGAAGGATTTTTGTTTCCTTATTTTACATTTCTTTCCCCTTTCATATTTGTTTTGTTCCTTCCGATGAAAGGCTCTGTGTCGCTTTGCAAAGGCATGAGGAAATAAAATGCTCCCCAGCAGAGCAGGGGACAAATTCTGATCAAAGTCTATTAAAACCTGGCAGTGAGACAGACTTGAACACAACCCTCTCAGGCTCAGCTGGGAAATTGGGCTCCTTTGAATGGTGCACCAGGCCACAACTTACACGGACACAGTCTGCTGTCTGAACTCACACCGCCCACCACGGTGCGTTTCAGTGACAGAAACGTGCTGGGATTAACAGAAACAACGTGTTGTATCAGATTTAGTGAACAGTCTGTCTGAGCAGTCGTCGTAAGGTGTGAACCCACGACCAGGAGTATGTTTGCCTTCAAACGAGCCAACATTCAATGGAAACACATGTCCTAATGTGCCTGGCCTGTCCTATTCTCCATACAAGAGAGTGGAAAAGGCACTATTGCGCATCTCCTTTGGTGCAAGTCATGCAAGAATGGTCACATCAGCATCTCCATACGGCGAGCCCCTCCAAACCCCTCCGCTGTCTTACCTGGACCGGATTGTCGGTTGTTGCTGATGCTGTTAATTATATAATGCGAGACTTTGGAGTTCTCTGATACGGACAGCACGTAGTCGCCGGGGCTGGTGATGGAGTCCCGGACCAGAAACACGCCGTGCCTCTGCCCCTGCAACAGAGACACAGCCTCCTGCCTGCTCAACCGGCCCCAGTACCAGCTACCACGGTCCTCCGCGTCAAAATTTCCGGCCATGATAACCACTCCAAAGCCGAGGCTTCACCGGGCCTTCCCTTCCCTTCCCTCCCGTTATCCACAGGCGAAGCCTTCAACTCATACAAAAACTTTAGCGCCTAGAGCACGTTTAGTAAACAGGCGACATCCGCAGCTAGCCTTTTGGACATCAATTCGCCGACATAGAACCACAAGCGCGAAATAAAAAGGCCTCTTGTTTGGTTTCTGAGCGGGATTAAGCTCTGGTAATCATATAAGGCGTTTTAGCGACAGAATTCCAGCTACAATCCAGCGACCGATGACAACTAACTTCAAAAACTGAAATGGCGGATACGGGAAAACAAAAAAAGACCCCATTCACCGGATGTGACGTAGCCTATGTGCAGCAGCCGTACGAGTCAAGTTAGTGAGAATAAGACAGTAGCAGATCTTCCGGTTACAGCGACACTATACAGCTAATCGTGCACGCTTATAATTATCAGGTAAAGTCTAAATATAACAATGACATTTTGTAAAACTTCTGTTACAGACTCGGTGTCGTTTACCACCCAAAGCGTAGTTTTATATTTTCTTTTTCAGAAGTGACACCTTAGCAAGCTTTTATTTTGGCGATAACGTCCGTAAACTGCTGTTCCTGTTGAACTCTGTCTAACTTGACGGCCCCGTCCTTCATGCTGGTGGGCTGTTGGGAAACATAAAGGTTGCCTCATTGTTGCGCCAGATCAGCTGCAGTGCTGTAATTCAGTTGTGTACACGTTTTGCTCCCACAAGCGTTTAGAAGCTCACGTAAATATATCTAGCATATTTCACCCGCTAAATAACGGCGTGGTTGCAATGTTTACGTCTGGCCACTAGATGTCAGCCAAATACTATCTAGAAATCATTATTGTCATACCTAAATGATGTGCCTTCATGCTTGCCATCAGAACATTTGTCCATAAGAAATAATCTAACAATAATAAAGGATTATTTAATTGTTAGTACTCATTTTTATTTCATGTATCACTTTACAATAAGGCACCCTTTATAAAAGATGTATAAGTTGTAACCAGTGGATTTGTTAACTAATGGATTTGTTAATAGTTAGTATATGATTTAATGCTCTATGAATCTAATAATAATAAGATTTGGGTTGCCAGGTTGTGGCTGGTGTATATACATCTCCCTCAGCACAGGTGCATTGTCTGTTTTGGCTCATTTAATTATCATGAGGCCATCCAATAGACTCTTTGACCCCTGAACTCCTGGAAAAGAGCTGCAGAGCATCTGTATCAAATGAATTGATTGACAGCTTATTAGTAACACCTGCATACTTCAATATTAGACTTCAATAAAAACCTTTGCTAATGAATTAAAATGTATAACTACAGTACAACTACAGTATAACTTACTAACTTCTATTGTTGCATTATTAGAAACTATTGACCTGCTTACCAACATTTTTAACTGCAGACATGATAGTATATTAACATTTATTGGTAGTTTACAAACTGGAGACTGGAAGTTTTTTTTAAATTAATGATTCAACAACTAGGAACACTTTTCACAACCTGGCAACACATATGTTTTCTTATCAAAGCCTTGTAAATGTTTTATGAAGTACATAATTTACTAACCACTGATAAAACCATTATTTATAACTTTGAATCATCTATAAACGGTCAGGAAGTCGTAACTCTCTCTTTCCTGTGTTGTAACACTCACACATTGTGGTTATTCTCAGCAATCCCAGACATACATTAACCATATATATCCATGTGTGGAGAAATGTTAAGAGTGCTGTCTAAACATAAGTTTGGACATGCAGCATTACTAAATACTGAGCCCAGAAGTGTGGAATCAGTGCAATAGTTTGAAGTGGTGCAGGTAATGTCAGAGGCTTATTCCTCTACTACTTAAAAGTGGCGTACACATAAAATTCATATTGTGAGAAATATGTATGAAATTCAAAATCAGATAAAAAGCAATGAACATATTTTCCAAAAATGCAAGGATGCATGAATTAAAATAAGAGAACATATACTACTCCTTTTCAGTACGTTCAACTTGTCACAGCTACAATGCGGCTGAACAGGTGGATGCCCCTCCACTCAGAGGCCTGTCTCTGCTGGGGCCCACGTGCTGGATGCAGCTGGGGCCTACGATCCAAACCTTTGCTGTGAATAACAGTTCTCATGCATGTATTTCTAATAATCAAGCACAAAAGTAAGAAAAGCCAAGACTTGTTTTTGTATCACAGAATTTATTGGGATCCATGGTGTAACAGAAAATAATACATTTTACAATTTCATGTGTAGATGAATGCACAGAGCATTCAATGAAGTGGCATGAAGATAAAAGATCCACGGGGAGAGTGACAGAAGAAGATACTGTATAGAGAATAATACAGAGGAATACTTTATAATACATATCCAAGAAAGTTTCATGGAGAGAGAAAAAATTCAAGGCTACAGACACTCATGCCTTCAGATTCACATTACCATGTTTCTTTTGACATCTTACGATATATCAGCAGAGGCTTTAAGCGAGAGACATACACAGCATCTTCTCCTCACATCCTCTGGTCACTTAAAGCATTCTTAACCAATAGGGTCCAAGGCAAACACCATCGTCTCACTGCAACATATGAAAGGACTCATTCTTCCTGTAGTGAAGAGCTGAGAGCCTTCAGTCACTGTATGAAGCGCCACTGGTGAAACTACAGAGCACTCTGGGAGAGAAAATCACCAAACAATAGGAACGTGGCTCCGATTTGAAATAGACTATTAACATAGAGGCGCAGTGAATGAAGGAAAGCTGAGCCACGTGTGAGCTTTTTAGCTATATTCTCATGTGATACCAACAAACAGAGGGCATGAAGCTAATTTGCAAAATCTTTGTATGTTTATATTCAAGCATTTTCAGAGCAATAAATTCAAAACAAATAAAAAGTTATTCCATGTTGCAAACACACTTTATTCGTGTTAGGGCAGACAACCTTTGAAACTGTTTTAGAAACCATGCATTCTTGTGTGAAATCAGATCAAAATGAGCTGTTGGTTCAGGTGAATGACCTCCAAAAGGTCAGCTTGAGATCAAACTGCACTGAATCCCTTATATCAAAAGGTGGATGACACTGAGCGACGCATCAAAGGTTTCAAATTAAAAGCCCATATCTATGCTGATGTATGAGTCTAATTCCAGTTGTGATCTGTTTTTGCTTTGATTTGCAGTGACCTTAACATAAAAGCAGACAAAGTGCATGGCTTCAGCAGTGCATTACAAACATGTACACATAACTCTGATCTCAACCGTCTAACTCTCGCTCTCTGCTGCCGGAAGGCGTCCTGTTATAGTAGCGAGCAGAAAACCACAGAAAACCTGAGAATAGTCTTCCACAAGAGGTCTTGGTGTTGAAGTCAGTTTGACCCTGAACACCGGGTCAACAAATGACTGCACACTGCGTCTAAAGCCAGCGATCCACACTGACCAATAGCTGATGGTATACAAACGTTCACAACACAATCTGAACTCACTACAACATTCAATACTTGACGTCCTTCCTTCCCACAATGGCTTCTGAACATCACTGTGGCTTTCAAGGACAATCTTTCTCTGTCTCATTAACTGTGAGGATGCACTCAGCTGAGCGGCCCACTTCTGTTCAGCATCACAACCCGCCTGTCTCGGTTTAAAGGGTTCATTGATTTTGAAGGGACAATGCAATATTAGCTTATAGTAAAGGTAGCTTAAAGGGACATTTCTCTTTGTAATTAGCTTTCAGTGTAATGCTGCTGAATGCATGCAGTTGAGTCTGTGTTAATGAGGCGAGAGGGAACTGTTTGGTGTATGGAGAGCGTGCAGGTGGCATGTATGGGATTCGCACATTGTCAACCACTGATAAACAGGTCTAGAAGTAGACTTTTTTCTGGGCAGCAATAATTATTATGTTCATAATCATTACACAAATATGCAATGACGTATTACAAAATAGGTCTTGCTTAATTTATACATTTAAAAATTGAATATATGTTAATTTGTGGAACTCTCTGTGAAGTCTCTGGATGTCTATTAAAAATGTATTGGATACATTTTTAAGGTTTGCCTTGCCCTATCCATTGATTTCAATGATACCTTACTTGAACCAAGTTATTTTTACTGATCAGGTCTTTTCAGACTTTTAATTTATTTTAGTTTCTTTAGATTAATCTTCAGCTCATCAGAATGTGGTTTCAATTCAATCATTGTCCTAAGAGGGGAAATGGCTTTTCTATGATACACTGAGGAACTAGAGCCAGTGTTTTGTTTGTCCCTTCTGGGCTACTACAGAAAACATTGCAGTTCAACACGGCAGACTCCATGGAAGGCGACCCGCAGCCTTGTTTTAAGGTAACAAAAACACAAGGATACCTATTTTCATACATACATATTATATTCCATTTCTGCTGATAGATCCTCCTAAATGTAAAAAAAAGATCTGATCAGTATTTATAACTTGGTCCTCAGACCTCTCTTTATATAGACAAACATGCTTTTCTGTATGAACTGTATGAACCTGATGATGAGCATCAGTCATTAAAGGCCTTCATTTTTGATGCCACACACATAAACAGCTCCAGAGATGAATGTACTGGCTCTTGGAGCAGCTGTATTGGGCAAAGTATACATGCATTTATACATTTTTAACTGCTCCAGGATGATTTCTTTCTTTCTTTCTTTCTTCAGTTAATATTCAACAAAGTCCTCCTCTCCATATCAGTAAAAGCTTTCCACCCAGTGCCTTTTCAGAACACAAATTAAGAGTCTGGTTCGCCTTTTTCACCAGTGTTTAAGCATTACTCATGTACAATATTGCTACCCCAGACCACAAAAATAACATATATCCTGGAATCGAGTGGTATTCCTCTTTAAATAGCTAATCTACAATCTAAACAATCACCCCTGCACAGATAAAAACAATATATACTGTATATACCGTACATCCAAAAATACAGCTTGTTTCTTAAAGCTTTGCATGAACTATAAGTGACACATGAATGGAAAGCACGGGCCGGTGAAAGCTACATACTGCATAAGGATATATAATCTGTTGTAACCCAGCGGACAGCGTACGTGAATGTGATCATAGCTGCGGCCTATATATAAACACAGCACTGTAAGCATGTGACACACACTAGTGTACAGTACTGTGGAGAGAAACATGACCTGGATTATGAGAGAAAGGCTACTAAATATTTCAGCTTGATACCCCAGCACTTTGCTATGGGACACATGGCAACACGATTATCACATTTATCTACTTTACAGCCAAGACCTTGTCCTTCCAAAACAGGACACGTTTTACTGTTTCCTTACAGTCATCAGGCCTGTACTGCATCCTTTTCTAAATCATCTTTATGTTTTGGTTTGAGCTGACTAATTTCGTCTTCAGCGCACTTCTCTTCCACTAAAGCAATGTGCATCTGTTCATCTCCCAATAGGCGACTGATCTCGAAGCTGTTGGCTTGACTTCTGATTCCTGCCTATCTTCTGATCCATCTGGCTAGCCATCTATGTATGTGGGAGGGAAACATTTTATATATTTCCATCTCAGGTTTTTGGCGAAAACATTTCTCAAAAAGGTTTAAGGGCCCTGACTAGTCTGTGTGTATCTCTTGTTTTATGTTCTCTAGGTCTCTTTTTATCTCACACTCTGGGACCAGTAATGGGACGTGTCACAGGCACATGTAGGTATTAGCAGGGTAACCAGGAGGAAAGGACCTGAATAAAGGTTAACATTCTATACATAAAAGCCTCACGTGATATAATGAATCCGTCTATTCTACGCATTAGCATCCTTAGTCTATTCGTACTTTAAACAACAGACAGTTATGATAAAACAGACGTCCTGTTGGGGATTGTCTTCTCATGTTACATTTACCAGGAGTCACTGGGTTTAGCTGTGACTCTGCCAGTATCTGAGCACTGCGGCGGCTGGTCACAAATCAGATCAGTGGAGGGAGTATCGAGTGGCGTGTTCATATGGATTACATCCTTCCAGCGCCGCAGCCTGTTTGACTTTGAGCGTGCTCAGCTAGCCTCCGCAGGACACAAAGTCTTCTCTCACCTCCTTCCACACAGGACTCGACACAGGAGGGGAAACATAAGCAGAGCGGAGCAGGGAGCGGCAATCAGGTCAAGTGGTCTGATTGGTCGGTCACCTCGTGTAAGTCGTCCTCCTCCACTCTCATTGGCTCAACGGCTCCGAAGGAGAGCTGCGACTGGCTGGAGCAGGACAAGCGGGAGGAGTGGCTCTGTGTGTCATCCTCGTCCTCCACCACCGTCGCTCTCCTCCCCGGCTGCTGCTCTCTCCTCTGCGCCTCCTTCTCTCTCCCCTCGTCCTCCTGCTCACCTCTCCTCCCCCTCCCCCTGCCCCCGACCTTCCTCTGCTCCTCCAGCGTCCACATGCTCTCCTCCTCGTCCTCCTTCCCCTGCACCTCCCTGTCGAAGTCCAGCAGCTCCTCCATCATCTCCTCTATCTCCATCTCCCCGTCCAGCTCCTCCTCCACCTCCGACCGGAGCTCGCCCATGCTCTCAGTCCGGTTGGTGTCGTCCGTCTCCTCCTCTTCCCCAAGCCCCCTCAGCCTCTCTGGGGGGTCGCTGGCCTGGCTCTCTCCAAACTCCAGTATGGTGGGCAGGTTTCCCTGCTTGGGACAGCGCTTCCTCAGGCTGACCAGGAAGGGCTGTGGCAGGGAGAAGATGTCCACATTGTTGCCCAGGTCGATCCATGTCACGCTGGGGAAGCTGCCTGGATCCTAAGGTCGAAAATTTCAACATTTTATTATTAGAATTATTATTAAAATTAAAATGTTTACTTATTTATTTAAAACATCATCAAGTAAATTACTGCCAGCAAATGAAATCGCTGTCAAGACGATGGTTCACGTCTTCCAACCTTTACGCACACTTGTTGAACAAGAGGTTCCTTCATCTACGATAAATGGAGCTAAAATCTTCAGTGTTTCTGCCAACAGCTGAATGTTTGAGTCATTTGTTCTAATGGCTGCCAGATGCTGCTTTCAAGACAGCTCAGACTATTAAAATAACGAGAAAATCAATTTCTCCAAGGAAATTTAAAGTCAGCGTGACCTCTGGGAGTAGGGCATCAAACCACAATGTCCCCAGTTGAAGTCCCCTGCCATATCTCTGCTCTCAAGTCTTTCATAAAATAATTAAAGATCCCATCTAGACATATACAAATAGTCTGGTTGAAGCAGTAATGTGGGTCTGATGTGTTTTTTCTGCAAAAAAAAGAGAGTGTAATTTCCACATTAAAATACTTAAAAAATCCTCTCCTCCTTCTACATCATTAAAACTTCCACAATCTCTAAATATTCAAATGTTGTTTATTTCTAAAGTTTTGCTGCTGGAC